TTCCTGTCTGCCATGCTGCCTTGCCTTGGAACCAGCCAACTGTAGACTGAAACGTGTGCAAACTGTGAGCCAAAATACACCTCTCCTCCTTTAAATTGTGGGTGTCAGATATTGTGTCTCAGGAAGAAGAGAAGACACTAAGACAAAATCAAAGGCAAAGCAACAAGGCCAGGGATTTAGCTCAGTGGTTCTACCACCTCTACCACCTGCCTCGCAAGTGCAAGGACCCGAGTTCGATTCCTGGTACAAAAAAAAAGAAAAAGTGAAAGCTACTAAGCAATTGATGAGGAATTGACCTAAATTAGTAACTATGATTCAGGAAGACAGAGAGGATTGAGAGTCAGTGTACCTGCTAATGCCACAATATGTAATCTGGTAATGAATTGTCAATTTGTTATTATTCAGGTAAAATTATATCAATAGAACAATTTTAAGAAATAGATAAATATGATTTAGTATTTTTTTTCTTTTTGCAAGAAATGAAATAAGAACTGTCTTGCTGTCATTGACCTGTTCCTCACGTTTGAGTACTAGAAGTTCACCAACTTGTAGGAGGCCTTCCAAGCAGCCTGCGATGTCAGTTTCAAGCCTTAGAGGGCAAACCTGAGCTAGGATGAGAAAATAAGAACTGGTAAGGGAACCTGAACGGTCTGGACCTAGACAAGGAAGGCCACTAATTCTGTACTGAGTGCGGGTTGTAGATGTTGCTGTTTTCAGTTTTATTTTATCTTCAGTTAAAAAGAATTGTGTATATTTAAGAAGTACTATGGGATGATTTGAAATGTGTAGGCACTGCAGGATGACCACATTAAGCTGGTTAGCATATCCATCCACTCAAATATTTATCCCTTATTTCTGGCAAGAACACTTAAAATCTCCTCATACGTATTTTGGATCGTATGCTTTGGTTAGCTGTGGTCATCATGCAGCAGAACACTGAGACTTTTTCCTCCTGCCGACCGTGATTCATATCCACTAGGCAGCACCATCTCCCTTTCCCTGTGCAGTGCCCCCGCCACACCTCCCAGCCTCTGGTAACCATCATTCTGTGCTATTTCTACCCATTCAACTTTTTAGGTTCTACATCTCAGTGGGATATATGACGTTTGTCTCTCTGTGCCTGGCTTATTCCTCTTCACATCACGTTCTCCGGGTTCACCCATGTTGTGGCAAATGACAGATCACAAATGACCCACAGATACATGAAAAAAATTTCATCATTTCTAACCATCAGAGAAACACAAATTAAAGCCCCAGCAAAATATCGCTTTGCATGTGCATAGGCTCTTATCAGAAAGTTGACAGATAACAAGCAGTGGAGAGAATGTGAGAAGGCAACACTTGTACACTGTTGCTGATATTGTAGATGAGCATTTTGAAAAATAACATGGAGGTTTCTCAAAAATCTGAAAATTGAATTGTGCGATCCAGTGATCTCACCTATGAGTTCATATCTAAAAGAAAAAATATCAGCATGCATTTCTATGTTTTTTGCAGCACGATTCACGAGGGCCTAGACATGGAAACAACCTAAGTGTCCATCAGTTGATGAGTAGCTATTTTTAAATGCAGAAAATATACACAGAATACTATTTAGCCTTTAAACAGCTGAACCCAGGTTCCAAGTGCTGTAGAGCTCTGACTGAAACAGTAACAGTCACACTACACAACCACTTAAGAGTTCTGTGGATTTTTAATAGTTTAGCAAGCTTTATGTAGTGATTAATGCCTGATGAGAACTTGGCCATTTTTTATAAACCAGTGAACATATGAATAGGACATAAACTGTCACTGCTGCTTTTGCAATATTAAAGGAAGAGAAAGAGCATTCAGTCCTGCGGGGTTCAGAGGTAATACTCACCAGAATAACCTTGTGGGCAGATACAAGTGTATCTTCCTATCTCATTGAGGCACGTAGCCTCATTCTTGCAGGGACCTGAGACACATTCATTTACTTCCAAGTCACAGTGCCTCCCTTGATATCCTGGGACACAGAAGCAGAAATAGCCATCGATCCCGTCCTGCCCCGTTGTGGCAAGGACCGGAAGCGCACTCATTGCAATCCATCTCGCAGAATCCTCCGCCATATCCAGCAGGGCAGATGCAGACCAGGTGAACACGGTCGTGGTGGCAAACACCTCCGTGTTGGCACGAGTCCACACCACAGGAGCCAATGGCAGTTTCACACGTCAGCCCACCGTACCCGGGAGGACATTGGCACTGAAAACTTCTTCCTCCTGGGGTGTTCACACAAGTGGCGACTCCTTGACAAGGATTGGGGGAGCAAGGATCTTTAATATTTTCACAGTCTTTGTCGGCATTATTGGCTATGTCTGAGCAATGGCAATTGCTGTCTTGTGACAAACCTTTGCATGTAGAATTGTTTTGGCAAGAAGGTGGGAGGCACCTGGTATTATTTGTATTGCAAAAAGAATCTACAAAGAAAAAAAAATCAAAATTAAACTTGAAAATGTTTGAGAATAAAATTAAAGAACTTCCTTTTTGATCTGGTGTCACTTCAAACTCAGTGAAATACCTAATTTGCCTAAATATGATGAGTTTTAATTCTTCATTGTCAAAACTTTTTAGATAGTTGCTAATAAGCAACAAAGATGGCCAGTTTGACACTATCTTCTCCTTTGTACCTCATTTTTCAAGTATAAATGTAATCGAATAACTTGGAGGGAATCGAGACAGCTCATAATCCTTCCCATTTGCTCAGAATCTTAAAGTTCACATTCTTTCATGGGAGACTTTTATGGAATACTAAGCAGGGAATTACAAAATTGTCTGAATAACTTGCCTATTGGAAACTGCTATTTAAATGAATACTATGACTTTGTTAATCTTAATAGCTATTTTATGCTCTAAAAAGTATTGAAAAATAAAAATATAGTAGAATTTGATTATTTACTACAAACCTACTTTACCTACTAAACATTCTAGGTATTTCACATACAGTGATTTTTATCCTCACAGCAACACAAAATTATGTAATTTTACAGATTAAGTCCACTACAAAAATATTGATATAGTAAAGATTGTAAACTTTCATTTTCCTAAAATAATTTCTGTTCTAGAAGTATGGTTGAAATTCCGATTGAAATAATAATCTGTAGGAAAGCTTTATAAACATTTCTGCATCGGCTAATGAGCATAAGAAACGGTGGTATTTCCATCATACAGAAAGTGTGAGGTTATCAGGTATTTCAGGAAAACCTCTAAGATAAACATAGGCACTGAAACATCAAACTTTAAAAGAAATGTAACTTGAAAAAAATAAAAACAATTTAAGGAGTGGACAAAACTTATGAAAAAAATCTATTTTTTTTTTTCAAGGAGCAGCGAAACAAGTATTGGAGGCCACTAAAATAAACTTCTAGAAAACCAAAGAGGTCTTTGAAATTTAAAATGTAGTGGCAAAATGAAAGATGCAATTGAGCAATTGGAAGATAATGTTGAAAAGCCATCTCTAAAACACTAGGAAAAAAATACTATTATAGGACAGAAAATATAAGGAAGTAGAAAATTGATCAAGTAGGCATTCAAAACAAAGAACATTTAAAAGTGGAAATGGGAATTTAAAAAATGTCGAGAGGAGAAAGAAGGAATTGAAAATTATAATAGATGTATAAAAATAGTGAGAATTAAAAACAAGTAAGTTTTTAGATTTAAAAGTTTCACTGACTGCCGAAGAAAACTGAAGAAAAATAAATCCATACTGAAACAGAGCAGTGTAAAATTTCAGAACATCAGGGATAAAGTAAAAATCCTCAAAGATTCCATGAGGTAGAAACAGTATATTTAGAAAGCAACAAGACATTTATTATTATTACAAAGCAACAGGACTAATTTATCAACAGAAGAACTGGAAACTAGAAGATACTAGAAAAGTGCCTCCGAAATCCTGAGAGGAACTTATGAAAAATTCAAACTATATGCCTAGCTAAACTACTAATCACATTGGAAGAGAAAAAAATTATTTAAGGACCCACAAATTGAAAATTTTAGCTCTCATTCTCTGTTTTCTGGAGAATGAGATCTGCTGAAAATAAAAATTAACCCAAGAAAGAGGGAGACATGGAATCTCGAAGTCCAGAAATTAATAAAAGAAAGCAGATGGAACTGAAAAGAAATCCCAGGATCCCAGTTATACTACCAGCAAAGAGATGAACCAAATGCTGAGAGCAACAGGAAAAATTAGAGCTCTAGGAAGGATGTCTCCAAGGACATAAAAAGTGTACAGAGAGAGAGAGAGAGAGAGAGAGAGAGATCATTTAAAAAGCAAAAAACAATCTTGCTGGTATTCTTGTAAAGTTGTACAGGAAAAGAAATGAAATCAGTATAGTTAGAAATATGTAAAATGAAAAGAATCAATTTGTAATTGATTAGAATAGTATCTTAAAATAACAATAATAGTAATAATATATAACTTATATTGGGCACAATAGAGTTGTTTGCATGTGTCCGTGTGTGTTTTAGAACTGCTGAGTGTTACATGTATTTGAAGCACAGTGGCATTCTAATGCATCGTGCTGCAATCTAAAACTGGATGAAGAACGCACTCATTATTTGAAAATATAAATGAAAATGAGAAGAAAGAGCTAGTAGAGTTCTGTGTAGTCATTTGGGGGTAATGCACATTGGATTGACATTCAGGAAGGGAATGCTGGCTGGGACACGACTATTTCCTTCATACTCTTTAGAAACTTTTGTGTGTTACTGAATAAAGTCAACAAAATATTTTTAAAGCAAAGTAGGTAGGCTCATAAGCCAGTCACACACCTGCCACTCTGCATCACTTTGTTTCTGTGTGTGCTCTGAAGTGTGTTTGGCACTGGTTCTGGACAAGATGACCCATCAATGACATCTTCTTACTGTGCCTCCTCTGAGGTGACGGGTGCCACTGGGGACCCTTGCTGCAGGGCTCTATGGGTGTGTCCAGAGGGCCGAGGCTGAAGACTCTGGAAATGCAGCTCCACCAGGTGAGCTTCATTAACTGATGCTGCAGCTCATGCACTAGAGAAACAACCACTTTTCAAAGAGAAAATTCTATCTTTCAGACATATAAAAGAAATGGAATTTGCTGCATTATCACAACTAATTAGATAAGTAACAAGGCAATAAAAGCAGAGTGTGCACAGACCACCAATGGGAATATCACCAAGTAAGGATTATAATTACTTCAATATTTGCACCTGAAAAAGCCTATGGTGTATGTTATCATGCTTAGTACATATGTGTACTCTCAGTGAACAATAAAATGATTTCAATAGTAGATAACAGTTTTAAAATAAGACAAATGAGCATGTAATAAACTTATAGGATTATTTAAAACTAATGAGAATTTGGTTTCCAGAGAAATAGCCAGAGAGAATTTTGTTTATCTTTGATATAAGACCTATATTCAGAGGAATGAATTTTTCTGGGTGGGAGGTGTAGTTTGTATTTGCAGATCCATTTATACAGGCTGTAAATTTATTTCCTTGCAGTAAAGTTTGCCATCTACTGGCTGTTGTACATTCTACACTAGTGAGTTTTAAACTTTATCTTTTCGCTTTCTTTTTTCTTCTTTTTTGATTCTTTTCTAGGATTTGCTCACTTAATTCTTCTCATGTAAGTCTCTAATGAACTTTATCTCTGGGTCTAAATGTTATTGACAATAACTTTAAGAGGCAAATTCTCCTCTAGCTGAGGGTAGGAAAAAAGAGTGTATGGAACTACTATTATTGCTCACATCTGGGTTAAAATAATAATTTTTAATGTGTCCCACATTTAGCTAGATTGTGCACTCCCAATATAATTTTCATAGCATATACAAGATTATTTGGGCTTATTGCTGAAGAGCATGTATTACTTTTCTTTTTGTTTGTTTGTTTATTTTCCTGAAATTACAGGGAGATCAACAGGGTCCTGGAGAATTTTCTACTAAGCAATATGCCAAGCATGGTAGGGAGTAATTTTTTTTTTTTTATACTGGGGATTGAACTCAGAACTTTGTGCTTGCGAGGCAGGCGGCAGAATCACTGAACTAAATCCCCAGCCCTGGGAATAATATTTTAAGCATGTAAAGGCACAAGTCTTTCTATTTTAAGTCTATCTTTTATGTACATTTACCAAATATTACTTAAATAAAAATGAGAGGAATATAGGGCTTGTGTCCATAAAATTTTATATTTGCAACAATTTTGAATGAATGGTTTTTGGCTTTCATATAAAACATTTTTGTATAAAGATGTGGCAAATAATTGCTAGTAAAATGCAGTTTGCATAAAATAGAGGGTAAAAACAACGCAAGTGGAGCTGAGTCAAAATTTCCAGTTCTAAGAATTTCAATTTATGAAGATAAAGTCTTTTCTTGCACTGTTTTTAATAGTTTGCCTTTGTGCCAAAAATGGCTGGAGGAGGAGACAGGAGTAGAGCAAGACAGACACATCTTCATTCAGGACATGGGCAAAATAGTTCGCACATGGCAGAGAGTCAATAGAAATTTGAGTAATGGATGGGTGAAGAAGAATACTTTCATTCCCATTTAAGCCTTGCTGTAAAGTTCTTACTTTGGCCTCTTTTGATAAATTCAAGTAGGAAAAATCATCAGTTGAACCACTTACTTTGATGCACAGTACGATGGAATCCACATGAACTAGCTCAAGTAAGTATCTGGGGTCCTTAGAACCCTTCCTCTCCTTTGCATTTCTGCTGCATCTGAAGAAGTAGGCACTCACTATCTTACGCCTGGCTTATTTCTGTCCATGTGGCCTCACATATTAAATTGAGGCTGATGAATACAATGGGAAGAGTATAGTTTTATGGTCAGAGATTCAGAGATGTAAATATTGGCTCTGATACTTATCATCCCTGTGACTTTAGGAAAGTCACCAGCGCTGTGCTTTAGTCACCTTATTTTTAAAAGAGAGGATATATTGTCATATGTATAGCATCTAAGAGCGTGGACTTCAGTGCCTGGCTTTAAATCCTGGCTCTGCCCCTTGCTAATCTTCACTTTTATTATGACAGCATCTGTTTGCTTCAGCTTCCACTTTTGTCAAAAGGATACACCTGTCTTACAGAATTGTTATGATGGTTAAATTAATATGCACAAAGCGTCTAATGGTACGTGGTGCATAGTGAACAAATGTAAGTTATTACTTTTGTTTTTGTTGTTGTTTCCATTAGCAGTAAAAGAGATAATGTGCATAAAGTTTCTTAGGAAAGCAGGCATCGAGTAGCTTTAATCAATATTGTTTGGCTTTCCTTTCAATGCAGAGTCCAAAGCACATACACCTTGATACCCTCCTATTAATGTAGCAGTTAGGGCGGAGTTTCAACTGATGGGATCCGCCCCAGGGGTTGGGGGAGCACAATGCTAGGTGGGTTTGGGTATCATGGACGCATGGCCTTGGAATATATATATATATATCCCCTGCCTTGCTTCCCACCGTGACTTGGACTGAAACTGACCCCATTGAACTTTTCCTTCTTTAAATTGTGCGTGTTGGATATTGCATTTCAGCAATGAGAAAGCTAACACAACTGATTATCAAGGTACCATGGACATAGTCTATACTTGGCTAGTACCTATTTAATGAATGAAATAATTCAAGAAAAATGAGCCAAATTATTATTGGAAAGAGAGTTTCGAGAGTTCTATGAAATATGTTTGCCATCAGCACTGATTGCATGAGAGCTGTATCTCATAATATCTAGTAGAGGACCTTCATACTTACCACAGTTAACTCACGTGAAAACTCTTTATGAAACATGATTTTCTTACTCCATTTGAGAAGATTATGGCCAGAGTTCATCAGTGTTATCTGAACCTCAATGTCCCTATTCTGTTATGTCTTTGGAGGGTCCATGGCCTGACTGAGAAATTTTTCTATGAGCATATTTAAAAATCCTTGTATATGATAAACATTTTTTTAGGTCTTTTATTTGTGATTTCTAATTCTCAGTATTATCACTGATAAAATCAAGGGTCCTCAAATTCCAAGACTTCTTTTTCTCTGAAAGTTTCCCCATAAGAGGAAGAGTCCCTGAGTTCTTTTACAAAGCATGCACACCGAAGAATGGGTCTGGCTCAGATCAGGACTTGAATGTTAGGGTGAAGGTGATGGAGTGAGCTCTTCCTGCCTTTGACTGTGATCATGCATCCCTCACAGAAGATGCCTTACCCTTTATCATCCTAAGATGATAATGACTAAATAATGTAAATTGTAAAGGTCATGTTGTTTTAAATGTCAACCCTTGAAATTTTTAATAGACTCTAATTATGTTCTTCTGACACAATTGATTTAAAGCTAATCAGTGGATTCTCTGACCTTATTATAACTCATGCATATTTTAATAATCAAAGGCTTTTTCATTATAATCCCTTTCACTTATGGCATAGACTTCCATTTTACTAGCTCCTTTGTCTCCAGTAAACAGAAATTTAAATTCTCGTAGCACAAACATTCTGAGCAAAAAATAAAGTTTTTTCTCAGTTCACAAAGCCAGTTTTAAAAATTAATCAATAACCAACAATTACAAATTCAACTTCAGTTATAAAACAGTGATGCAGAAAAATTTAGCCAGATGAGACTTCTGTTCTGAAAAAGATTCTGGAAGTTCTAATACTTTCCATAAGTTTTCTATCAGTGAGAATACTACACACAATTAAGGTTAAATAAAAAAATAGGAAAAATTGGTAAAATAAAGGAAAACAATCCTCAAAATTCTAGTCCATTTCCCTATATACTGAAATAGTAAGGCAATCAATATAAGAATGAAATAATAGAAGTCTTTATATTTTATTGTTGATAGTGCAAAATGTTCTCCAATTTATTATTTCCCTAGAATAAGTGTATAACCTTATTGTTCCAATTAATTCCTATAAAATTAATGGGGCTGGAGGTACTATATCTATTTTCTAAATAAGGAAAAGTTTCAGGAATGTCAAATAATTTCACCAAATTAGCATGTTTATTATGTAATAGATCCACATATAAAAAGACTTCAAAGACGTGGAAGATTTCGCCGATGGGATGAAACTCGGGTTTGGCATTTTTAGCAAGTTGCCAAATGCTGCTTTGGATGTTGGTCCACAGACTACACTTAGCAGCACTTACCAGTGCTGGCTAATAGCAAATCTTCCAGTAATCACATTCAAAAGGAAAAAAATAAACAAGTGGAATTTTTTTTTATATATTTAACCGAATATATCAAAACTATTATTATTTTAATATGCAATCCTTGTAAAACTATTAATGACATATTTACTTTACTACACAACCTTTGAAACCCTCCTCTGTATATCTTACACTCACAACACACTCAATTCTGTGTGGCCACGTTCAAGTGCTTTAAAGCAAAATGAGATATCATAGCTATTTTATTGAACAATGCAGCTCATGATAGTTTTCTCATATTTTTTTATACAGGTAATGAGGGCCTAGAAAAAATAGTCTGTGGTTATGACTAGAACTTAAATTACATTATTTTATGACATTCTTATAGTAGTATAAAGGCATTTCAAGGTATTTTAAGAGAGTTTCTTTAGGATATCCCTCAAATAGTACTCATCCTCCGAAGCCTGATACAAGGCATACTTTTCCCACATTTTCTGTATTTTGGGTTCCTTCTCAATCACTTGGTTTAGGCCACCACAGAACTCGTTAACGTTTAATTTTAACACTGATCCATTTATTTCCTAAATTTTCATCATTTCATATGCCTTTATAATTAGCAATTTATTTCTGTACGTTTGAGAGCTGTGCTTCACCAGCGAGTCTGTACATAGGATTATATATAAGATTTTGGCTATACTTTTTGAAAACTACATGATCTCCTCAATACCGCAATAAACACATGATGATTGTCTGCTTTGCTGATTAATTGGTTTTACCCCAGGGAAATTTATTTTGCTCGCTTTATGTCTCACTACACTTCAACACAGAGAATGATTTGTTTCTGCCAGGTCACTCTAAGGTTTGGGCTAAATTTAAGGGAAACCCAGGTTACTCTGGTTACTAGCTAACTTGGAAGCCACCGTGAATACATTTAATTTTCTTTCTATTCAGCTAAAAGCCCCACGGTACTGAGAACAAGTGTGATGCCACTGAGCCTGGATAAGTCTTTGAAGGGTTTCTAAATGGCTCCCTGCCCGGTGTGTCCTGGCACCTGCTGCTCTGAGCAGGGCCCTGGTGCACACAGATCTGCCTAAGCTCCTCTGCACAGCCTCCTGACACACACGGCGAAGGGGTCTTGATGTCTCAGGGACCCACTCGGCGAACTCTGCCCCAGAAGGATATGAAAAGTACTTGTGCAATGACTTCCAAGGCTTCGCTGCTGAGCATGAAGCACTAGGGAAACGGAAATTCCACAGCACTGTTTCAAGACTCAGAGGGAGATGCGTGATCGCTGACACCCTTCCAAGAGTTGAAAGGGAATATTTCGTCTTTGAAATTGGCAGCTTAACTGCATAGAAAGGCACAAAAGTGTAGAAAGAGCTTTGTTGTAAAAAGGCATAAGATACAGCCTTAGATGAAATCACCCTTTTCTAAATAGGGCCATAATCATCTCATTTGGGAGGGTATGGCTATGTCTTACTACTTAAAATATTTTGCAGGTTAGCTAAAAAAGGAAAGGTTTGAATTTAAATCATTCATTCATTCCAAACCATATATATTATATATATTAATATTTTAAGAACTTTTTACTTGGTGCAGTAATTTATTTTTAAAATTAAGCACATATTCACCTCTCTGTCTAGATCTACGCATAGATATAAATCCGGTATGCAACATAATGTTGTTTATCATAACTCGTTATTGAGCTGAACGCTTAATCCCTATCTCCCTAAATGTAGCAGTCTATGACTAAATTTAGACTTCCATCTTTCTTCCTCTGGAAAAACTATACCAGTACTAGTATGCAACATGTGCCTACGCTCCCCTGATCTCTTTGTGTGTGTGTGTGTGTGTGTGTTTTGGTACCGGTGATCAAATTCGGGTCCTTGCACTTGCAAAGCAAGCGCCAGAACCACTGAGCTAAATAGGCGGCCCTCCCCTGATCTTTCTTACAGAACTTCTTGCATAATGCTTATGAATGAAATGAAATGGGAGCCTTTGTTTTATTGTATGTTATATTTTTACTATAATAAAACTTTTAAAATGTAGAAAAATATTACTAAGCTTCCTTTTTAATATTTAGTGAAATATAAATCAAGTCGGATTATCCTTAAATTAGGGCAAGGTGAATAGCATAGCAAAGGTTTAATATTCAGGCTCCATTAGTTAGAGTAGAAAGGTTCCCACTGAGCAGAGCACTCAAGAGCTGTGTGCATGGTTTCACTAAAGCAAGAGGCTTTGGGTGATCTGTGAGAGCATTAATCAACTTCCTAATCAGAACTGTTTATGGTTTTCCACATTTTTTTTTTTGGTGAATACTGAAATAGACATGGCTTTAACACTATCTCAATTTCATTTGCAGAAAGAAAGGATGTGTCATTTATTACCAGAATGAAGGAGCCTAGGGTCCTATGCAGTCTAACCAGATCTTCATAATGAATTATTTAATCTTCACAAAAATAAAAGCAATATTAAAGGCTTCCGTCAAATTAGCCAGCTAATATTTATCCTCCAAGTGGGTACTAACCCTGTGGTATCAAAGGAGTTAAAAGACCCATAAAGCATCTATTTACCTCAGGTCTATTTCTAAAGCACCGCATCATGTTGTTATAGAAACCACTTGGGGCAGAAAAATCTCCTGTCATAATTATTGCTATAGTAACCACCAAAAGACAAGAAATTGGGTTTTCATCCATTTGCCACCATTCTCCCCACCCCCAAGATAGGTTTGCTTCTAAATTCTCCAGTGTTACTGGAAACATAGAAGGAAAAAAGAATAAACTTACTGGAGAAGAGGAAAAGAGAAATGAGGACACAATGGGCAATGAATAAATCCAAGGTGTTTTATCTACACATTTATATAGAGATAAAAATTGTAATTAGATAGCTAAACCCACCTCTATCCGGTCAGTCGGGCCTCTTTATTTCCATCTGTTCAAACTAAAACTGTGAGAAAATTAAATGTGAAAATATTGTCATATTCTTAAAGCCATCATGAGACATACAGGAAAAGGGCCCAAGAATATACCTTTGTCTAACATTGTCTTTCCTGTTGTGAATCAAATGAAATATATAAAGCATTTTTCTTATAATAGTTTATGATAAAAATTTCAGGGAGTTGAGGGTGTAGCTCAGCAGTGCAGTGCTTGCTTAGCATGCACAACACCTGGGTTGGATCCCCAGCAACAAACACACACAAACACACACACATACAGGGGCGGGGAAGATTATTACCTTCTAATACAGTATCACGCTTAAAAGTCAACCTTTGATAACACGTTTATTTAATATTTTCCACAAAGCACAAAATCTTCAAACTGTAATACGATACTAAGTTTGGGCACACTTTTATATAGAAATGCATTACATTAATTAAGCTAAACATAATGATTTTTAAAAAATTTTTTACCTTAGACTTTATCTCTTTATATAACTTACCTGTATGTTACTACCTAGAAAATATGTTAATTGTGTTTCTTTTAGTTCTTATATACTATTGGGCATATATAGAAATTTGATTTTTAAAAATTAATTTTATTGGTACAATTGAAATATACATAACGATCACATTCATCAAAGGGAATTCGTACTTGTACATGGGATACATTGATTCCTCTTTTGCTCCCAATTTTCTCCCCCGCTTTCAATCCTCCCTCCCTATTACAGAAGCTTTGTTTCCATTTTCTTCCTTCTTTTCTCATTTTTTTGTTTCCCTTCCTTTTCCCCCCCTCGCCCCTTCACAGTTTCCATTCCCTTTTGCACAGTTTCATCCTGTTTCACACTATCTAGTATACATTTTGGTCCTTATTTACCCTGTCAGTTTCTCACACCAGAGGGATAATGCAATATTTACACATATTTGTCTGATTTACTTCACTTTAGAGTCTAGGCTCAAGTAGCACTCATTTAGCTATGTCTCGTTTATCTTTTTTTACGGATCCATTGCATTAAAAACATATTTTTATCCATTCATCAATTGATGGGTATTGGGTTGTTTCCAAGATTTATCCATTACAAACTCTGTCACTATAAACATGGGTAGACATGTGTCATCGTGGTACGATGCTTTGAATTCTTTCAGGAGGATACCCAGTGGAGGAATAGCTGGGTCAAATGCGACCTCTAATCTTAATTTTGTGAGGAATCTCACAACTGATTTCCACAATGGTTACATCAGTCTGCACTCCCACCAACAGTGGAGAAGGGTTCCTTTTTCCCCAAATCCCTGTTAGCATCTGTTGTTGGTGGATTTCTTCAAAACAGCCATTCTTTCTGGAGTGTGATGAAATCCCAGCATTGTTTTCATTTGCATCTCTCAGATGATCAGTGATGTTGAACAGTTTTTCATATATTTTTTTGCTGTTTCTACTTCTTCATCTGAGAAGTGTCCGTTAATTTCACACTCCCATTTTTGGATTGGGTCTTTAAATTTTGGAGGTCTGATTTTTTTTTCAATTTTTGGTATGTTCTAGATATTAGTCCTTTATCTGAGAGACTACTGGCTAAATGTTTTCCCACCCTACCGAGTATCTCTTCACTCTGCTTGCGATTTCTTTTGTGGTGCAAAAAGTGTTTAATAGAATGAGATCCCAGTTGTTGATTCATTATACTATTTCCTGTGCAGTCTGGGTTTTGTTCACAGCCATCGAGGATACCTATGTGCTCAAGAATTCTACCTATTCTCTCTTCCAGCAGATTTAATGTCTCTGTTTTAATATTCAGATGTTGATCCATTTTTATTTTAGTTTAGTGCACGGTGAGAATCATGGAACTAGTTTTAATCTTTGGCATATAGAAAGCCAGTTTTTCCAGCAACAACATATTAAAGAGACTGTCTTTCCTCTGGTGAATGTGCTTGGCCCTTTTGTTAAAGAGAAAGTGGCTGACTTTTTTTGGTGTTATTTCTGTCTCTTCTAGTCTATTCCATTGAATGTCAGGTCTGTTTGTTGTTGTTGTTGTTGTTGTTGTTGGTTGTTTGTTTGTTTTTGCCAGTACAATGCTATTTTTATTAAAGTAATTATATAGTATAATTTCAAGCCAGAAATTATAATGCTCCCTGCCTTTTTTTGTTGCCCAGAATTGTTTTTGTTATTCTAGACCTCTTCTGGTTTAAAACGAATTTAGGAGTGTTTTTTCTACTTCTGTGAGGTAGGCAAATGTTATTTTGATTAGGATTACATTAAATCTGTATAGTAATTTGGGGAGTATGGCCATTTTCTACTTCAAGAGAAGGGGATTTTTTTTTTATCTCTGACATCCTCTTTCAAAGTAATGTAATTTTCAATGTACAGGTATGTTACTTCTTTTGTTAGACTGATTTCTAAGTATTTCATTTTTTCAGTGCTATTGGGAAAGGTGTGATTTCTGTAATTTCTTTCTCAGTGAGTCTAATATTTGTGTACAGGAGTGCTATTGATTTTTGAGTGTTAAATTTGTATCTAGCTATGCTACTGAATTTACCTACTATGCCTAGAATTTTTTTCAGCTTTGAGTTTATTGGTACATTTTAGGGATACAGTACAGTTACATTCATTGTTGGGATGGTGTACCTCTACATGACAGGTCTTGGTTCTCATTTTTTCCCCTTGTCCCTGCCTTCCCTTCACCTCCTCCTCCCCTCCCCATTTACAAACATTTTATTTCCATCTTTTCATTATCTCACATTTTTTTCTTTTCCCTTATTACCCTTCCCCTTCCCATCCCACCTTCCCTACACATTTAGCCCCTTTCTTCCCATTTCACAATGTCAGTAATCTTATTAGGATCTTATATATTATTGCAGTTTATTCCACCAGAGAAGCTAGAATTTTTTTAGGAGTTTATGGGGTCTTTGATATAAAGAATCAAGTCATTTGCAAATAATAATAATTTAACTTCTTCCTTTCCTCTCTCTCTCTCTCTCTCTCTCTCTCTCTCTCTCTCTGTCTCCCTCCACCTCTCCTAAATTTTCTGAGCACATAGCACACAGGCCATATCTGATTCATTGATTTCTTCCATCACTAGGATGTAGTTAGTGGTACTGTGTTTGCCTAGCATCCATGAGGCCAGATCTCCAGCACTTAAAAAAATCTTTCTGGCAGGTTTTGTGTTCATCATTCCACCTACTATAGAAAATATGAATTAATTGGCACATATTTTAACCCAAAAATAATGTAAAAATATTTACATTCGGTTAGTACTTATTATTAAAGAAATTAAGGAGGTGATTGCAAAATAGAGTAGTTCTTCTGGTACAGCAACAGTTAATCTGAAACAAAAGCTGTAAAAGGACCCCAGCCAAAACTTGTAGATTGTTATCAGCCATATCATTGCTATCCCTTCTCTCTCTCCCTCTTTCTTCTCTCTACATATATTGGCGTGTGTGTGTGTGTGTGTGTGTACAGAATATATAGTCCATATAGTCCTAACCCTAAAAAATCTTTAGAAAATACAGCTAACCACATATTCTTATATGTTCTTAAAATTACGTCAGAAATTCTACATTCATTGCATTAGTGCACAAAATGTTTTTCAAGCATGGATGAATACTTTTTATTTTAATACCACCCAATAGGTATCTTCACTTCTTAAAGTATTGGCTGTTGATTCATTTACAAACATGTTTGTACTCTTGACTTCCATATACTCAAAATCAACAAGGGTAATTATTAGATAATATTAGAATTACACTACAAATAGGGGCCATACTGAAATTAGTTAAGGGATTACCGTAAATTAGACACTCGGTGTTAGCAACCACACTAGGAAAGCACCTCTGTGATTTAAAATACATTAGCTAGCATACAAAGCAAAGTTAAATATTGTATCAGCTTCATTCAGTGCAGGACAAAAAAATGCACTATAAATATATTTCATTGAAGTGGATTTAATATAGAGAATTAAAATCAAACATCACTGGAAATGCCGGCAGAGTGAGCTCCAGATGGACTTCTGGCCATGACTGCAGAACCCTAAAACTGACTCTGAAGCTTCTGCTGCTGCTGCTGCTGCTGCTGCTGAAATTGTGGGGTAAAAAACTTGACTCCATTGCTATAACCCAGGGACTGGCACTGCCAGTCTATAATGCCTCCTCTGTCAGGGCTCTTGGGCCTTTGAAATCGACTCCATGAACACTCGGATGTGGAAGGCCACATTGCCTTCACTGTGGCTGTCTTTGGATAGCCAACAGCTGGAAAGTGGCCCAAGGAACATCGTGGCTTACACTCTTGGGCCCGTGACCATGCAAGCTTGTGGACACAGCCAAAGGAAGCAAAAGGGTCTCCATTCCACTTCTCATATGCAAATATTTTCAATGGTTAGAGCCTAAGTTATTTGTAGCTCTATCTGTAACAAAACTCAGAAATGTACATTTTACCTTTCTAGTTTCTGCCATAAAGAAAAGCACAGAGGAGAGTGGGGTGAAGGCTAAAGTACATTTGAAGTATCTGACACAGAGGTATCTTAGATAAACTCATTTGTAGGCTATTAATGAGAAAGGCATACAGTTTAAGTAAAAATATGGTAAAACAAGGACAATTTGTCTTTACTGACTGAAACTGGTGTTAATTTGTTATATCCTAGGGCCACTTACAGATTAATCCCTTTCAAATGTAAGAAAAAACTTTATGTTACTCAGAATCAAAACCAATGTATTCCATAATGCGGCCATGAGAAGAGCAAATATCAAGTTGCACTTAACTTATGTTTTCAGGTAATATAATAAACTCACTAGTGAGTGCGTAGTATTCAATTTGTGAGAGATTCTTTGAAGAGTTTATGAAAGGATTATTTCAGGTAGTATCTACAATGACCTGGATTTACTTTACACCCTCTGATCCACCAACAGAGCTATCATAGGTCAATATATAGCTTCTTACGTTTAGTAAAGGAATGCTGAAGATTTGTTGCATTGTTTTTGGAATCCTGCTTTTTTATTTTTCCAAAACACTATTTATTTTATATGCTATTTTGAATGGCATTTCTCTAAGTACATAATAATCTCTTTCACTGTCACTAAAAGTAAATCTAAGAATTAGAGAAAGGTAAAATAAAAATATAAAGTCCAAAGTGACTTGCTTAGATTTCATGTACAGATAACATGAACCAAAATATCTGAATTTTAGTTCTTATTCTATCACGAACCAGGTTAGGACAAGACATTTATTTTCTGAATCTGAATTTCATCATGTTTAACCTCAGAATGATAAAGCCTGTCCACTTTGCCACTTAATAGAAGTATTGAAGAAAATAAAGCTAGATTATGGTAGAACGTTTTAAGCAATATTGAAAGCTGTGTATAGACATAAGATGGCACTATTATAGTGTTTGTTACTTTACATTCCACTGCTATTACCAATAAATCTTCTACTCGGGTAAAAATAACCACCCCCAAAAAAATGCACAAGGTCTTCTTTCATTAGGAATAATTGGCCTAGTTATTTTAGATCTGGAACTAATTTTAGCAAATAACTGATTATGGAAAAGTAACATGGAGGAAGCCAAATGAATAACACACAAAATGCTTTTACTGAATGCAACATCACTAAAGAAGAGAAATTAAGTAATATGTGTGATTTACAGATTTGAGATGGTATAAACTAATAAGCAGATATTGCCATGCCTTCCTACTTCTGTTGCCTAAAAGGTATTTAATTTCACTGACATGTTCTGTTCTGATTTTAAAGTGATTTTTGATACTGGCAGATCTTGGTTCAAGCCATCCTAAAGAAGCTCTTGTGCCCCAAGTTAATATTATTCCATGTTCTGTTAAGAAATCTTGCCTTGTATTTATTGGTCCTGGCCTATGACAAGACCACACTTCTATGACTGAACTCACCTTGAATTCTGGATTTTCTCCATTTCCTTCTGCCAATTAGGCATTCTGAGAAAGACTGGCAGATCCAAACTTCACCGCTGACATTTACACCATAACAATCCTTATCTTCCACTTTGGCCTTCATCTTGTGTGTTTTTGTCCCTTTGTAATCTTAATACTGCTGATTTTTTGCTTATTTTGTAGTTTAAAAATATTGCTTCTCAACCTTTTCGCTAAAATCAAGTGCAATTTAAAAATATATCGCACCATAGAATCCTGCTTTTGTTGATTCAACACAGTATTTAGTTTAAGATTCATGTATATAGTTGCCTGTAATAGCAGTTCACTCACTTGCTATATTCTGTGATAGTCTATTCTATATGTATATATTACTTTGTTCATTTTTCAGTGCAAAAGTACTTTTTATTTTTCAACTGTTTTTCTCTTAAGAATAAAACCATGTTGAACAGTCCGGGACATATTTCCTATTACAAATATGCATTAGGATTTTCCTGGTAGTATGGATAGTCTCAGGAGTGGAATTGCTATGTTATAAATGTTTGGTAAGTTTTATAAAATAAGCTCATCCAGCTTTCCAGAGTGTTTGTGTTGATGTATACTTGCATTCGCAGTAAGACTCATTCCTGTTCTGTTATTTCATATTCCCATTAGATTAGCTTCATGAGATTTTCTAATTTTAAAAGATCTGAATGCAATAGCTAAAATTATACTAAATGGTCAAAAACTGAAACCTTTCACTCTAAAATGAGGAATAAGACAAGGATGTCCTTTATCATCACTCCTATTAAATATAGTTCTAGAAACATCAGCCAGAGCAATTAGACAAGAGAAAGAAATAAAAGGAACAAAGATAGGAAAGGAAGAATTTAAATTATTATTATTTGTAGATGACATTATACTCTACATAAAAGACCCCAAAAACTCCACCAAAAGACTTCTAGACTTAATAACCAAATTCAGTAGCATAGCTGGATGCAAATTTAACCCTCGAAAATCAACGACATTCCTGTATGCAAATAAATCACTGAGAGAGAAATTAGGGGAGCAACATCTTCCATGATAACATTAAAAAATGAAATACTTAGGAATCAGTCTAACAAAGGGAATGACAGACTTATACATTGAAAATTAGAGTGCCCTAAAAGAGAAGATTGAGGAGGGTATCAGAAAATGAAAAGATATCCCTTGCTCTTGGACAAGAAGAACCAACATAGTGAAAATGACCATTTAATGCAATCTCAATCAAAATACTAATAGTATACCTCATAGAACTAGAGAAAACAATCCTGAAATTTATTTCAAACCAGAAGAGACCTAGAATAGCAGAAACAATTCTGGGCAACAAAAGCAAGGAATGTAGCATCACAATGCCTGACTTGAAATTATACTATAAAAACAGAATGATACTAGAAAAAAAAACAACACACACACACAAAAAAAAACAGATCTGAGGATCAATGGAAGGGACGAAAAGCAGCAGAAATAACACCAAACACCCTCAGCCACCTTAACATTGACAAAGGGGCCAAACATGTTCACTGGAGCAAAGATAGCCTTTTTAATATATACTGCTGGAAAAACTTGTGTTCTACATGCTGACGATTAAAACTAGACCTGTGTCTGTCATCATGCACTAAGCTATAGTGAAAATGGACCAAAGATATAGATATTAAAACAGAAGCACTGAATCTGCTAGAGGAGAGAATAGGCAGGACTCTTAATAACATAGGTGTAGGCCAAGACTTCATGAGCAAAACCTGATCACATGGGAAAAACTACAAAGAATTAACAACTAGGATCTCATCTAACTGAAAAGCTTTTGCACAGCAAAAGAAATCACCAACACTGTGAAAAGACAACCAAGAGAGTAGAAACAAATGTTAGCCTGTTGTTCCTCAGACAGAGGACTAATATTTAGAACATATAAAGAATTGGAAAAAAATCAGATTTAAATTTAAAGACCTAATCCAAAAATGAGCATCTGAGATGAACACACTCTTCTCAGATGAAGAAGTAGAAATGGCAAATAAATATGTGGAAAAATGTTCAACATCACTGGTTGTTTGAGAGATGCAAATTACAACAATACTGAGATTCCACTCACTCCAAAAAGAATAGCTATTATCAAAAAATCCATCAACAACAAATGCTGGCAGGGCTGTGGGAAGATAGGAATCTTCTCCATTGTTTGTGGGAGTATAGACTGGTGTTAACACTGTGGAAATCAGTGTGGAGATTTCTCCAAAAATTACATTAGGGGTCCCATTTGATCCATCTTTTCCTCTTTGTGGTATCTTCCCAAAAGAATTAAAAGCATCATTTCACAGTGATATATGAGCACCCTTGTTTATAACAGCACAGTTTTTAAAAGCTAAATCTTGGAGACAACCCAAATGCCCATAAACCAATGAATGGATAAAAAGATGTTTTTTAATACATTGTAGTACTACTCAACCATAAAGAAAGATAAATGAGACATTTCTAGGTTAAAGGATGTATTTGAGACCAGAGTCTTAAATAAAATAAATCAGACACACATGTGTAAATACCACAGTGTCTCTCTAGTGTGAGAACCCGAAAGTCTATATAAGGACCAAACTGTATAATAGATATTGTGTAATAAGAAGAAACTGTTCAAAAAGAAAGGAGAACTAAGGAGAGGAAGGGGAAAAAGAAGAAAGCAAGGAAGGAAAGAAGGAAGGAAGGATGGGGAAAAATGAGAAAAGAAAAAGAAAATGGAGGGCTGGGGATTTAGCTCAGTGGTGCTGCCGCCTGTGACACAAGGTCCAAGTTCAATCTCCAGTACCAAAAAAATTAATAAATAAATAAAATGGAAACAAAGCTTTGTAAATAACAAGGGGAAGAGGGATTGAAGGGAGGGGAATAGGAAAAAAAGAGAAATCTAGAGTAGATCCTGATGGTTTATTTTTCCTGTGATTTTTTTTTTTTTTTTTTTTTTTCTA